AGGGGGGGGGGGGGGGGGGGGGGGGGGGGCGTGGATGCAAAGAGGAATAAATGGCTGCAAAATTGCCTTCCTTAAAATGAGCTCCGGCGATGCAGCTGTTCTCGGGGTGCCCCTCGCTTTCCCCGGCTCCTCCTGCAATGCTGTTCCCACCTCGAAGGGCCGTGGAGTGTGTGTGTTGGGGGGGGGGCGCAGAGCCCGGCTCGGTCCCTTTGATTTGCCTCGGGGAGCAACTGAGAGATCCTGGGGAGGTGGGGGACGGTTGCTGGCCTGGTCCCCCCCCCCAGCCCCCCGCTTCGCCCAGGGCGGTTGGGTTTCCTTGCTTGGGTGGCTTTGCTTTACAGGTGAGCCGAGGAAGCGAGCTTCACGGCCGGAGGCAGAGATGCGACACCGCACCGGCGGAAGAGCCACGCCCCTAGTGGGAGGAGCCAGAGCCCACCTGGGGAGGGGGATTCGGGGTGGCGAAGGGGCCACCTGCCCTCCCGTGAGCCTTCCGAGGGCTGAAGCAGCCCCCACAACCTGACCGTCGCCCCTTCCTCCAGCTAAACTCATGCTTATGCCAAGAGATCATAGCTTAAGCAAACCGTGGTTTGCCACCGGGTGGGAACCGGGCTCGGAGGCAGGGCTGGTACGGGGGGGCGGGGCCTGGCCTTTTTTTGGTGGGGGGCGCAATGAACCCCCCCATGGGCGATCCTGAAGGGGGGCGGAGCGAGGCGCCCACTCGATCTTTGCAAGGGTCGCCCGCCGCTTCGGCACCCACGCGCGGATCGGCCGAGGCACCGTGGGCAGGACAAAAAAAGGGGGGGGGGGACTCCCAAAGCGACCCCTCCCCGTTTGGAAAGGCCGAGCCTGTTGGGAGGTCCCTTCCCCCGGCCCCCCCTGGGCTTCGTCCCCCTCCTCCTCCAGAAATGCGCTCGGGGGGGGGACCTGAAGACCGGACGGGGGGGTGGGCTGCAAAGGCGGCGACCCCCTTCCAAAGGATGGGGGCTGGCTAGTCATCCGAAAGAGCTTTTTTTTTGGGGGGGGGGGTCTTACTCCTGTTAACATCCACCTATTGTAAGGCGTGATTCGGTTTATCAAATAAACCACCAGTGGGTAGACAGACCCACCACGCACAAAGCCTCTGAAACCACGGCAGCTCAATTCACGCACGTGGTTAAAAACACGCGTGCAGAAATTGCTTTAAGGTGTGTGCGGGGGACGGGACTTCAGCCTCCTTTGCCCAGTGGATGGGCCGAAAATGCACTTTGGACTTGCTCAGGAGCACAGCCATCCAGTTCTAACGCTGCCAGCTTTTGGGGGTCTGTGTGTGTGTGTGAGAGAGAGATTATGTGCTGGGAAGGAAAACTTCACAACTCTTTTGAGAAGCTGCTTTTTTGGTTTTTTTTCAAGCGGCTCCTGCCCCTCCGCTTCCTCGCCAACCTCCCTGCCTTGTAACTGAATTTCACACCAGGCTGCCTGCCTGCCTGCCTCCGTGACGGGTCGGGCTGCTAATTTCTTTCCTTTTCTTTCTTTCTTTCTTTTTCTTCCTTTCATTCTTTCTCCTGTCTCTTTCTACAAGAGAGTGAAGGGCCCTCTCCTTTCTTCTCCCCCAGAACCTTCCATATATATATATATATATATGGATTTCCCTCTCCCCGCTCTTGTATAAAAACACGGCGTCGCTTTGAAAGAACCTCCGACTCGGCCTGTGTCACTCTGAAGGCCTGAATAATATTTCCAATACAGGATGATCAGAAACCCCCCTCTCTCTCCCCCGTTTCCCTCCCTCCCCACATCACAAAAGAGCCACACGGGCACAAACCTTGTGAGCTTTTCGCTTGCCACCCCCCCTTTCAAAAGTTGGTGCTTCGTGGGAATTCAACCCACGTGGTTCCTGGATGGTTTTGGGCGAACTCAGCAGTTGGGCTAAAATCTATTTATCAATCAGAGTGTCTTGATTTACACACTTACCTGGTCTTGTCGCAATACGCAAGTTGAATCCAGAAGCTTCGGAAGTTTATAAATTAGGCTTTTATGGCTTGGAGCGTTACACATTTCCGTGCGTTTATTATGCACCGGAGTTTGACAAACCGAGCCACCAAACCGGGAGCTGGGAGCTCTTGGCAATTCTGCAGGATCCGTGGCAAATCCCAGGGGTTTCACCTGGCTGGCTCTGCTTACCCCCACGAAGCTTGTGCCCTTTGGGACTTTGGGAAAAGGGGGCGGCCTGGTTTTCCTTTTCCCGCTAACTCTTCCTGGCTTTCTCCTGCGAATTTCCCCGCGCAACGTGGCCAAAGTAAGTTAGGTGTCTTTTTTTGTGTGACTTTTGTCCTCCGGTGTGACAAATCTGGCGTTAGGCACTCCAGGATTGTCCCATTCTTTGAGCCTTCTCCAGCACCAGCACTCAATTATTTCCCCCCAAACCAAGGTTAAATCGGGGACACCGATGAGGACGTCCCCCTCTCAGGCGGGACAAGGGGGCCTTCAGCTGTGGCTCCCCCTTCTTCCCCTGCCCAGCCTGGGCAAGGCCTCCCCCGCCTTCTCCGGAGCAGATGGGCAACCACGTCAGCGGGCAAACACCGGGGAGCGACCGAGCGCAGGGGTCCGGCTGCTCGGACAGACCCCTGGAGGGGGGGCCGACCCTGGCCCATCGCCCGAACAGGCCAGCTCCCCACCGCCACAGGCAGAACAGGGGCACAAGGCCACAGCACCTCCCTGGAAAGGGATTGCTAGCGCGAGGGCCCCCCCTGGTGACCCCAGCCGGCCTTTGCACCCTGAGCATTATCAGCCACTTCTTAGGAGGCAACAGGAAGGAGGTTTGGGGGGAACTCAATCTCCCTCTCTCCCCTCCCCAACTGGGCTTGTTAACCTCCTTCTCCCCTTTTGCAAAGCCACTTTCACATGTGCTCGTTGCTCTTTGCTACTCTGGGGCCCCCCAAGGAGAGGAACAGGCCAATAAAAGAGGGGTGGTTTTGAATATATATATATATATATATATATTTGCAGGTGCTTCCTTAAGCATCTTGCACCAAGACAACAACTCTTCCTCCCCATGTAAAAGGTGCGTGACACATGCCTGACCGATGCTGCGGACCCTCCCAGGTTTCAAAGCATCGATAACAGATTGTGAGAGAGCTTTGCCTTTTTTTTTTCTCTCTCTCTCTCTTTAATCTGTTTAATCCAAAGGAATGTTCTTTGGGCTTTTTTGAGAGGGGTCCTTGGAGGCTCAAACTAAAGAGATAAAGGGATTTTTGCAGCTTTGAATCAGAAAAGGGAGTTTCCAGAAACTCTCGGTGGGGGAAAAGGGGGAAAAAAAAAAAAGGAAACTTGGGAAAAGGAGGCCCGGAGACGGGCCAAGTTCCTAACGATCGCTTCCTCGTTAAGGCTTCTATCTCGCTGTGCCAAAGGAGCCAAAAGGGAACGACAATCATTCCGAGGCTGGATTTGCTCGAGTGTGTAAACTTCATTTTCACAAAAGCGGACATTAAATACACACACACACACACATATATATATATATATATATCTCTTGCCGCTTGGTTAAGTGGGTGGCTAAGTGCACGCCAAATGAAAGCAACGTGGACCAGGTCCAAGAATGGCTACCTTAACGCAGGATAAATGTTTGTGGATTAGGGAGGGGGGAAACGCCCCCCGCCCCCCCCCCCCAGGATATGGAGCAAATTATTTTAAGGCTCTCGTTTGCTAATTTGTAAAAGTATTTCAAGCATATCACAAAGTCGGCCTGGCTCTGCTCTGCAAGTGGAAAGCGGGGAAGAGAGCCCCCCCGCTCGTTGGAAGTCTCTGCTTTTCTCCCTCAGATCTCTGAGCAAGTTAGGGAGGGGGCTTTGGGGGAGGGGGGGGCTGCTTCTAGCAACACCCCACTTTTGCCTTCCAGTTGTGATTCACACAGTGGGGCCCATCGCCCAGGGCCAGCCCAGTCCCTCGCAGCAGACCGAACTCAGCGACTGCTACAAGAACAGCTTGAAACTCGCCTTGGAGAACAAGCTGCAAACGGTGGTGAGTAGACCAAGCAGGACCTGGAAGCCCAAGGGGGGGGGGGTCACCTGGTGGTCCCCTGATCTCTCTTCAGCAGCGCTCGTCAACACCACCCGTCCCTTGAGCTGGGGACGATGGGAGCTGGAGTCCATCACGCGTGGAGGTCATGAGGCTGCCTGTCTCGTTGAATGCTACTTAGAAATGGATGAATAAGACCGGCGTTTCTCCATCTTGGCTACAATGAAGAGGGGTGGACTTCAACTCCCAGAATTCCCCAGCCAGCAGGGGCTTCTGGGAGTTGAAGTCCACACCTCTTAAAGAAGCAAAACACGGATCTAATTCATCCATTTCTAAGTATTGCTTAAGGAGCTTTTCTAATAGGGAGACCCGATCAACCCATAGAACAGAAGTTGCCTTCAGAAGTTGTGGGAGCTTCATCCCTGGAGGCTTTCAAGAAGAGACTGGACTGCCACCTGTCAGGAATGATGTAGGGTCTCCTGTTTGGGCAGGGGGTTGGACTAGATGACCTACAAGGTCCCTTCCAACTCTGTAATTTGAACTTACCTTGGCAGGTAAGCAGCCACTTTCATTTTTCCCAGCCTCAATCTGCTTCTGTGGCAGAAGCTCAATAATAAATCCACTGGCTAAAACAATGACAGACTCCAACTCAAAGAGTGTCGAGGAAGACCAGAGGCGAGGAGAGGCGACGGGCTCACTCTCTAGCCACAGCTGAAGGCCCAGTTGGGGTTTGTATACAGTCATAAAGGTCTGAGACATCCGTTCCACCACGCAGGCCCGGAGATGCTCCCAAGGCTGTCCAGGGGATCACCTTAAACCTCGCTCCACCTGGACGGGAGAAGAGCCAGAGGCTGTTTTTAGCAAAGGTTCGAGAAGCCTCCTCGACTTATGACCTGCGATGCCCAGCCAGCTTTGGATACTGAAGAGTCCAACGCATTGGCTGAGTTAACAGGGCTGGAAGGGATCTTAGAGGTCTTCTAGTCCAACCCCCTACTCAAGGAGACCCTGAGGGAAACGCCATCCAAAACAACGGGGCGGGGGGTAGAGTGAGGGGAGATGATGAGGGAAGGACGGTAGAATTTACGTTCTCAGCTGAATCGAGAGACAATTCAACTTCGCTGCGATTTTGACCTGAAGGATCTCTGGCTCCGTTCCCCATTTAGTGTCCCTCCTGCACAAGACGCCTTTTGCCCACGTCGCCCTCCTTGGAAGTTGATGCTTCCCCAGCTGCAGAGGAAGGAAAAAGGATTTGCCCCTTTTTCTCACCTCCGTACGAGAGGAAAGTTTTAGGGACCACTTGGTATTGGGAGTCCAGCCCCGTCCTTTAACCTTCATTCTCTCCCCATTTCCTCTCTTGCCTACAGGCCTTCCCCTGTATTTCCACCGGGGTGTTTGGTAAGTACCAAGGCAGGGGAGAGGGAAGGCTGGGCAGGACACCTGCCCAGGTATTCGGCCACTTCCAATGTTCCTTCACAGGCTACCCGAACGACGATGCTGCGGAGGTTGTCCTCAACACATTACACAACTGGCTAGAAGACAACAAGGACAAGGTATACGGGCGGGCCGAGGCCTCTTGGCAGGAGCTGGATAAAGCCGCGGTTTGGCTCTGCCTGGCGTCTCTTTCTGACCAAGCACACAATATTAGCTTCTCAGCCAACAGCTGGTCTTTTGCTTGCATGGGGGTTGTGTATACTGTAGGATAGGGGAAAAAATCTCTTTTAAAGGGGTTATTAGAAAACCCATGCAAAGAATTTGGAGTGGTGCTCTCCACTTATAGCCCTCTACTTAATATCTGTTCGTTAAGTGACAAAAGTTGAAGAGCCATGACTTACCTGTGTTAGAAATCCCTTCAACCCGGATGCTGATTTGAGATAAGGGTATCTTTAAACTTGGATTGGGCCAGGTGCAAGCAGTGTGTGAAGGCGGGCCCCGCACATTTCCAAAGTGCCGTCCTGACCTCCCCCCCCCCCCCCAGCTTCCTCCTCCTGCTAACCGTGGTTATATCTTGGCCAGGTCGAGCGGCTGATCGTCTGTGTTTTCCTGGAAAAGGACGACGAAATTTATAAGGAGAAGCTGCCCAAGTATTTTCCCATCGGTGAGTCACTGCTCGGGGCCTCTGTCTAGGTCAGTGATTCTCCAACCCTGGCCCACTTTAAGACGCGTGGACTTCAACTCCCAGAATTCCCCAGCCAGCAACGAATTCTGGGACTTGAAATCCACGCGTCTTAAAAGTGGGCCTGGATTGAGAAACCGTGATTTATCTAGGTGGTGAAAGGACAATGAGGGGCTTTCTGGGAGCCTTCCTCACCCTTCCTCTCATTTCCAGCCTGACCCCCCGCGTCCCATGCGCCGAAGGCGGTAAGCATTTCCCAGCACGGTGTGCGAAAGTGCAGTCGTGGGGAAACGCATGCTGTGGCTTGAGCCTAACAGTGTCTTAGCCTGGTTTTCTCTGCCCACTAAAACTGGGTGTTTCCTCTGCTCCGAGTTGGGAAGATACGCGGAGGGCCCACGGAGGGATCTCCCGGCCTGCGCACATATTCAACCGTATTCGTTTAGCGACTGAAGCTACGAGGCTGAGAAAAAGGGACGTACAACTGGTCCTCACGCTTACGACCATCACGTGATCAAAATTTGGATGCCTGACAAACCGGCGTGTGTATATTTGGACACACACGCCACAATGCAACCGTAGTGTATTTACAATGGTTGTCACGGGCTCGTGAGCGACATTCGGCAATTGGTTCGTATTTACGACAGGTTGTGGTGTCCCAGGGTCACTGTGATCTCCCCCCGCCCCGCTTTTGTGACCTCATGACAAGCAAAGTCAATGGAGGAAGCCAGATTTGCTTAACGACCGCATGATTCCCTTAACGGCTGCAGTGATTTCCTTAACATGCCCCCCCCTCAAAAAAAAGTTCGCAAAATTGGGCATGGCTCAATTGAACGACCGCCTTGCTTAACAATGGACCCGGATGTGGTTGTAAGTCGAGGCCACGCAAAGTGATACAAAAGGAAAATTGTGTGTCTTTTCTCCTTTTATGCACAACCAAGTGACAAGAGAGAAATTCTGTAGGAGCAGAATAAAACTCCCCGCAGTTTTCGGTCACCGTTCTGGCCTCTTCTCTTTTTATGAAAGTTGCCGCGGTGTTTTAGCCTTTCTGGGTTGGACCTGCATGAAGAATGCAGAATTTCCCCCCCCCCCCCCGCTGCTTTCACCCTTCACACCAACAAAGCCACAGAGCCAGGCCGTCCCGTCCGACTTGCGTTAGATTCAGAAGGGTTCAGCCCCCAGCAGGGACGGTTAAAAGAACGGGAAGGAATAAACCAGGATATGGCTCCTAAAGGGCGTAACGTTCCCACGTTTGGGTAAAGTCACAGGCCTGGAATCATCCCCACGAAGTCAGAAGAGAAAGCAATTTTAAGAGGAGGAGGAGGAGGATCAACAGTGGATCATGTTTTTCTCTGCACTAGGCAAACGCAGGTCAAGCTTAAAACAGATTTTAGGTTTATTTACTCCTGTGCCCGCTGCCCGCTTCACTGTGAAAACGTTTGACCCACTGTCCTTTTCTCCATCGCTGAAGTCAGGACTTGCCCGCCTCCCCCCTGAAGGTGCCACAACTGACCCACGGTGGTTTTTTTGGCACCCGGGGCTCACCCGGGGCAGGTGCTTTGTCGGAAAACGGGACGCTTACCCGAAATCCTCCTTTTTCCCAGCAGATGCCGGTGAGGAACCTCCGTCCTCAAAGCTCTGAAGTGGCTCCCTGCAAATCCCGCGGCCTCCCTGCAGACGGAGACGCCGGATCTTTTCCAAGCTAGGAGAAAACAGCCCCCCCCCTCTTCTTCTTCTTCCCCAGGCGCGATCGGGCGCAATGCCGGAATAAAAATGAAAAGAGGATCCAGTCGTGTCGCTGGTAAAAGCCCGGTGGGTGGATGGGGGCGAGTGAGTAGCAGCGGGACTGGGGTCCTGTGTGAAACACCCACATACACAGTACTTACACACACACACACACACACACACAGAATTACACCCGCCTACCTACTTGACCCCCCGCCTCCCGGCCTATCCCGGCTAGACTTAAAGCGACGGAGAGTTTCGGGCCGCTCCTTTTGGCAGACCACTGTGCTGTCCTTGGCAATTTTCTGCGAAAGAGGCTAAAACCAGGGGGAAAAAGAAGCCGGCCCTCGTTCTGCGCCTCCGCAGAGAAACCGGGACGAAAGACCCGAAGCCGAGACTTTCCTGCTCGCTTTGGCACGGTGGCAAAAAAAAAAACAAAAAAAACAGGGCAGTGGCTTGCTAGATGCCGCCGGCCAGCGGCCAAGGGACGGCCCTGGGGGCACGATGCAAAACCCTCCCCCTCCCCCAGCTGCCCAGGGGATGGCTCAACCGCAGACAAGCTGCCGTTACCTCTGAGCTCAGCTGCTTCAAGGGGGGGGGGGGAAGGCCCGGTTCTCACTTCTGGGGGAACGGAAAAGCCATTTTGTAAAATAATGCAACGTTCAAGAAGGCTTGTCCCCCGACACCAGCAGCTCTTGGGGGGGGGGGGGGGGGGGGAGGGGGGGGGAAAGAGGGCAGGGGGGGATTATGAGGAGGACCTGAAAAACTAGCAGGGAAAGTCTGTCTGTCTGTCTGTCTGTCTGTGTGTGTGTGTGTGTGTGTGTTAGGGAGCAAAATGGCACCGTCCGGCGGGGGCCTCAGGCAGAGCAAACCACGGAGGGGGGGCAGCTCCAGGGGAGCGCTTTTTTCCTTCCTCTCCTCCCGAGAGGCTGGCAAGTCACCTCCCACCACGCTGTGGTTTTCCTGCGCTCCACACAAGCACGACCTGACCGGCACACAACGTGCGAACGCACAAACTGTTGAGCGGCACACACGAGCCCCCTCAAGAGGAGGGGTCCCTGGCCAAGGGGGGAGAAAAATGTCACCAAATGGACTTTTTCTACCCGGCTGCAGCCTTGTGCGGTGCAGTTTGGGGGTGGGGGTGGGGGGGTTCCTGCCTTGCCAAAGAGCTTCGGTGGGCCAGCCCCCACCTCCAGCTGAGCCGCCGTTCCCAGATCACAACGTTAGCCCATCTCGGCTTCCAGGCCCCAAAAAAAGCCCCTCAGGGTGCAGGAAGTCCTCAACCTACGGCCACAGTTGAGCCCGGAATTTCTCTCGCTAAGAGAGGACGTCCGAGTTTCGCCTTTCTTTTCACGACCTTCCTTGCCAGAGTTGTTAACCGAAAATACGAACCAGTGACCGAGCCTCAGAACGTCGATCGGGTGACCAGGGGAGACTGCAACGGTCGTCCATGTGAAAAATGGCCCCTTTTTCCAGGGCTGTTGTAACTTCAAACGGTCGCTAAACGAATTTTTTATAAGCCGAGGACTCCCTGTAGATGACAGCCTTACATTTAAAAGGGGGGGGAAAAGCCCCAAAAGGGATCGGAATTAAATTCAGGGAACTCCCCGATGAGGAAGTGAGTGACCTCTACGGAAGGGACAACCAGCCGGTCTCCTCCTGAAAGACGGAAGCCACATCCAGAGCTGCCCTGCCCATTTCCCTGCTAAAAATGGTTATTTCCTCCCAAACTTGAGGACTAGGATCTTGCGGGGTGCGGCCTGCCGATTCTGCATATTTTTTTTTTAAAAAAAGAAAGATTGCGGGCTTGTGTGCCCTTCGGGGTCTCCAACCGTGGCAACTTTTAAGGACTTTTATGGACTTCCAAGTTGAATCCCTCATCAGCCGGATCGTCTTTTCAAGTTGGCAGTCGTCCCCCCCCTCCGGTCTTAAAGTGGCCACGGTTGGAGACCCCCCCGCCCTAAGGGGCCCGTGCGCCCTCCTCCGTCGTGGGCTGGGGGCTCCCTCTCCCAGAAACACTAGAGAGAAGCGGGGGGAAAGAAAGGTGGTCTCACCAGCCTCCCCTTTAATAAAACACAGAAGAAGAGCGTAGCAACAAAAGCAGGGAAAAATATATAATAATAAACAAACCAAGTGAGCGAGACGGGCAGCAGGAACGATCACCATTTACAAGCACAGACGAGGCTGCCCGGCGAGAGGGATGGGGGGTGGGTGGGTGGGAAAAACACGGGTGGGGGGCGGGGGGGGGGACATCAGCAGGGGGGGGGGGGGGGGGGGGGGGGGATGGAGGGGGAGAGGGGGGGTGGGTGGGCTGACTGACCAGCCACCTGCCTCGCTCCTACCCCCCCCCGTCTATTTATACAGGATGTCGTAGTGTCCCGGTCTGTAGAGTAGATACACTTTGGGCTCGGAGCCTTCGGGGAAGACGTGGGGGTTGGTGGCCCCGCCCTCGCCCCGATCCATGTACTCCACCAGGATGGAGACGTTGAGGGCCTGAGCCAGGGCGATGATGTGGATGTGGTCGCTCTCCTTGCACATGGGCTCCACCTCCTGGAAGAGACGGGGAGGGCGGGCCGGGAAGAGAAGCCCAAGCGATGGCGTCCGTTTAGACAGAAAAGAGCGAAGACCGCCTTCCAGGACCGCCCCTTTTCTCTCAGAAAGCGTTAAAATTGGCAAACTCTTGTGGTCAATTCCGGATCTGACATGACTCAAGAATTACACCACGGAAATTAGAAACAGCCCCCAAAAGTCACATCCTCCCATAGAAGCAAATCGACATTTCTTGGTGCCATCCATCTTCACCTCCAGGTCTCAGCTTTCGTTCCCACCGGAAGGAGAACCACCCAGCCTAAACAATTCTCTCTGTCTCCCCTCTTCCTACCTTAGGAGTGTGGCAAGCCCCAAACCCTCCCCCCGCCCCCCATAACCAGAAAGAAAGAAAAGGAATATAAACTAAGGCTAAATAAAATGGCTACGCAGATGTCAATTTGGGCTCGACAGGCGGTTTGGGTCCCCAGGCAGACATTGAGGAGGAGTTGCGCCCCCAATCGGCTGGGCTCTTTCACCTTCAAGAGGACTAGAAACACAGGCCCGAGTTCCCTTTGAGGTAAGAGGGCCTGTAAGTTTTATATATAAAAAGAGAAACTTGCTGGATCTGCGGAGGCCTCATTTGCCGTCCGAGCTGCACATAATCCTGCAAAGTGGAGGAAGATCCCCCCCCCCCAAAGCCTGACCTTGGACCCATCCATGATTACACAACATGGTGCCCCCCCCCTCCCCATCACCCCCACTCCGGGGTTCTCGGTCATTTGCACGACCCCTTCCCCATTGGGGAGCTGAGGGCAGTGGAGGCCCCACAGTTTGGGGAGTCTTTGGCTACGTGGCCCAGGCTTTTCCCTGCACGCAGACCGTTCTCCCCAACTTTTCCGTGCTGGTGCAGTCCTTCCTCAAAGGAGGAAGGGTACCCCGTTGTTGGATCCAATACTCCCCCCCCCATCACGAAGGCCTGCTAAATGGGGTGTCGTTGCAATGGTGACTTCGAAATTCCAGCCAATCTATTGCCAGTAATCACAGGTGATTATCATCACCGCCGTATCTTTACCTCTAAGGCCACTTTGTCAACCTTGGCGGCTTCAAGATGTGGGGAGAACTCTGGGGGTTGAAGGGCCCCCCCATCTTAAAGCCGCCGCAGTTGAGAAAACCTGTTCTAGGCCAACCAACAGTTAGTAATTTCAGTCTGACAGACATTAAAATCATTGCTCCCAAAGTCCATGTGCAAACACGCCTCTTCCTTCCTCTCGATCATGAGGACTAGAAGCTCCATTCACAATAACTATAGGTGAAACCGGAAGAGCCCAAGACCTCTGAACGCAGAGAGGAAGCCCTGCTAAGGCCTCAGCTCTGCCTTCTTTCTCTTCCCCTCCAGCCCTGAATTACTCATTCCCCTTTTCCTTGCCCCCCACCCCGCGCAGCCCCCGCAACTGACCTGCTGGCAGAACTCCTTTATGCTCCGTCCTCCCTCGATGAAGTGCTCGAAAAACTTGTTCTCCCGTTGCAAGTAGCCGGACGTCAGCAGCCGTAGGTAGACGACAAGGTAATCGGAGGTGCTCTGGTCGTTGAAGGAGCCCAACAGCTCCGCCACCGTGGTCTGTTTCTCCACTTGCTCGATCAGGTCCATGAACTGCAGGGATTCGACCGAGAAATTTGAGGGGGGCGGGGGGGGGGGGTTCCAACACCTCACCCCTCCCCACCCACCCCCGCAAACTCCCAGGCTTTCTCCTTCCTGCCAAGGGGGTGCCTGCCTCTCACCTGTCCATTTCCTTGGCTTACAGCCATACATTTCGGTTGCTAAGTGGGTTGCTAAGTTCAGGGAGCTTTGCCCCATTTTATACGACCTTCCTTTTACCACAGTCATTAAGTGAAAAGGTTAAGTTAGGAACCCAGTTGGTTAAGTGAACCTTCCTTGCCCGCTGACTCTGCTCCTCAGAAGGCCGCAAAAGGAGGACAGTGTAAAGCCGGGGATGCTGCGACCGTCATGAATACGAAGCGGTTGCCGAGCGCCCCAATTCTGATTCGCATCGGAGACGAGGTGCACAAAGCCTTCAAAGTTGACAAGCTTGGAGACCCCCCCCTCCCCTGGGTTAGACCCCCAACTCCCATCACCCCCGGCCAGGCTGGCCAGCAGTGGCCTTCAAAGGGGCCTCACCGTGTTATGGAAGTCCTCAATGGTGAATTCCGTGAAGCCCTGCGAAACCAGCACCTCTTTGCTTTTCGCCGCCACTTCCTTGAAGCTGAAACGATACACACACACACACACACACACCCCAAAAAGCGTGAATTTCTGCACTGGGCTGGCGCCTTCACATCCGCTGGTCTCGGGGGGATCCCCCTCCCCGCCTTCCCCGTCCCGGGATTCCCCAGCCTACCGCTGCAGCTCCTTGCCGTCCTCCAGTAGAGCCTCCAGGTGGGAAAAGCCAAACGCTCGGTAGAAGCAGTTCCCGTCCGGCCTCGTTTTCCGAATGTAGGAATACTTCTTCAGCAGATCCTGGGCCGGGAGAAGGA